ATATATATATATATATATATATATATATATATATATATATATAATGTACTATATACTATGTATGTTACATATTATTGCATTGTAATAAATAAATGAAAAATTATTCGTATATGAACTAAGCATCATTATATCGTTAATATCGTCATACTAATGTGGATACACTGTACAAGAAATGACAATCAGTTTATCTTATAACTTTGTACTGACAATAAATACTGTTGACTATTAATAAGTATATTCGTACATTTTGTATGACGTCTAACTTCGTAGCTTACGTAACTTGGTTTAGAAAATAAAATTCACATTCTTTCCCTTTTCTTATTTATTTAGCACAAAATTTGCGAAGACATTATTTAAATTTTTTCAGATAAGGTTTTGAATCGTGTTTTATATAAAAAGATATCAACTGAGTATGCTATGTTATTCAATGGTGAAAATAAATTACGTATACATTACAAATGTGTTGATGTTTATCTTTCTTTAATCAAAGTATTTATTATGAATTCATCAACATCATTGAACTCAATCAACTCAATAGACTCTGGTATAAGAAAATCACTATACTACAAAGTTCATTCGATGCAATGCTTGTGTCACTTTTCCTTCTTACGTAATCGTGACTTAAGACAAATATGTATTTTTGTAATTTTCAGAATGATGAGGACCAATATAGTGTTTGTTGCTTTAAATTTTCAAGACCCAGTAACGTATGCATAGCTCGAACTGAAAAAAGGAACTACTTACTACTGAAACATATTATAGGTAAAGTTTCGTTGGAATTTTTATTTGGGTCAAAAAGAATGCTATATTTTAGTCTCATCAATCAAAGCTTTTAGTTCGAGACTGAGATTTGAGATCCTTATAGTATTTTTTCCTTTTCAGTGAAGATTTTCTAAATTCATTTTAAACTTCTCCCAATACAAAGCCATATTTATCGTAGAGATTAAATATAAAGAGATACAGATATATTAACCAGAAATGATAGCATCTTATGCAAGCTGGACTCTGGACTTTCGTTAACTAACAGACGCTAGACCCCTAGAGAGACCTCTAGAGTACTCAGATGAATTGTTTATCTAACAGATAGTAACTTCCACGTTTCAGTTACGACTTCAGTGTCACGGGAAATAACGAGAGTCACAACGCTACATTAAAATGACAAAAATACACAAAATATTTATTGAAGGCTCTTTTAACTTTATCAACTTAGAAATGCTAAGTTCATAAGTGAAATATAGCACGTTCTCACATATGACTGGCATTACATCTTCTCCATCACTTTTCAATTTGCTGTCCTGATAGGCCTTTCCAGCAAGGCAAACCGATGGTGGGGAGCCACATGATATCTACATTGGTAAAAGTAAAGCGCTTTGCTGAGGAAACAACCAGTCTGTCGGTGAAAACGGCACGGTGGACATCAGTGTCGCTATTGAAGAGCGATTCAGCCGGTGACCGTTCATTTCTCGCGAGAACGCATCGCAATTAGAACCGAAATCACGTGAGAAAGTGGGAGAAAGTGCTCCGATTCGTTTTCCGAGTGCATTCCTGTCAACGTTCTATCAGACGCAATACCGAAGATGAGATAGTGCTTTAACAACTGTAGAAACTATCGTGGATTTACGTCTTAGGAGAGAAGGAGAAAAAGGGAGAGAGAAAAAGAGAGAGGACTAAAATAAACGGTAAAACCAGTCAGATACTTAGATTCTGCTTACCTGTGCCAAGATGTTCCCCACGTAGGGACACTCACAAAAGCCTGTCAGCCTTAATGTGTTGTTGATATACCAGATAATGCTGTCCACGAAAGTTGTTGGGAGACGAACTTAGATCACGAAACGTTAAAGAGTTAAAACATAGAAATCGTTGAACAAGTTCTCGTCCGCGTAAACTTTGTTCGTGAGTTCATTAGAACGGTTTGCGACAATCAAAAGTCAGTATCCTCTGAGTTGAATAAGTAACTGTGGGCTGTAACTGTTGATGAATTGGAATTTGGAGCATCTCTATATTTAGATTAACCACACGCGTGCGTATGAAAGCGTGTGGATAATTCGGCAACAGACGGTATAGACGTCTACTGTAGACATGTGTACGATAAGTAATTTGAATTTATCAAAAACGTTCATATTTTATAATTTTATACTTTGTTGTATATATATTACAATTGTTGCATATAAGTATACAGCTAAATTTAATTTGTCATTTTATGACAACGTAATGAAGAGAGAGGAAGAGGAGAGAGAGAGAGAGAGAGAGAGAGAGAGAGAGAGAGAGAGAGAGAAAGGGAGAGAGAAAAAGTTTACTTGAGTATTTGTATTGCTCTTATCTGAATAGTACAGTAGATTGCAAAACAGTTTAGACATAATAAAGTTTGGAGTTCAACAAAAAACTGTCAAAATTAAAAATCATTACTCGACGGATTTACGCAATAATAGTATAAATAAACATACTAAATATAATGATAATACTAATAATAATACAAGTAAATAATGATTATAATAATATAAATAATTCATAAAATAATAATAATTATTAATAATTAAGAGTATAATTAAATATACTAAGCAATAACTCGCAATTTTGATAGTTTGGTGAGCTTTCAACCTCATTGTTGAGTCAATGGCATTGTTGGGTCAAGTGCATTATTAGAAATCTGCATTGCATGCTGTATTTCATTATTGTAAGCGTATATCATGCAAACCTGTGCAGTATTTATGAATAATGATATGAATTAAATGTATGTAATAAATAATGCAATATTTACTCATTAATAATCACAGTGTGACACAGCAATAACGAGGAAATGCGCGATAGTGGATCCGCCGAACATGTCAACAGTATAATTTATAGGACTCGGTATCGTCATTTCGAGAGACTCACGGAGATTTTCTTTCGTGTATAAAAGAAGAGTCTCTCGGACTTCTTCTCCGGTCAAAGCGTGCGCGACAGTATGTGAGAGTTCGCATACTGGTCGGCGTATACACGCAATGCGTGCTCACATACTCCTCGTACCAGATGGAACCGTACAGATGGTATCGCGCTAGCGATGTTTGCCGGTATCTGAATTATTAAGCAACGTCGGGGGGAATAGCGATAAGCAAGAGACTGATGCGATATTGTGCATCCCAATTATTCGAGACGCGTTAGGTCGCGTCAATTCGACGCTGTGGTTGTCGCAAGCGACACTCAATTATTCCAGTTCGGTGAGTTAACTGCAATAATTGAAGCTATCGACGGATATCTCTAATGCAGTATGGAATATCGTCACGGATTATCTGTGATATTCAAACGATAGCGGCCACTTCCTACGTCAATCCGATGATCGTGATTGATAATATGTCTCATCTTCTGTGAGACGTTGGTACTTATACAATTATACATATATAAATATTGAAAGGTCAAAACTGAATCTAAAAATGATAACCTTGAATACAGTATCCATTTCTTGCGTTATCAAATAGTCGATATTCCCTGAGATTGTTGTGTCGTTTTTTATTTTGATATAAAATCAATAAATAAATATAATAAATCATGTAATAATTTATATAAATATATATATATATATATATATATATATATATATATATATATTTCTTTTTACAAATTTACAAATAAAATAAAATCGAACTTTGGGTGATCTAGCCATAACGAAATTTCTCTTTTATTGAATACATTGTGTTATTCATACGATTTATAACATTCGTCTAAATCCACGTCACGCATAGTTTAATTAGAAGATTTCGTGGAATTCATACGTTATGTTGACGGATGCGATACTCAGTACGGTAAAATGAAAAATAAGCAATATTTACGCATGTATCCATCACTCAAAAAAAAAACTTTAGTTACATGATGATATTCCCTGTAATGCCATATTCCAAGCAAAAACTCTCATCAAGAGAGTATTTCTCTTCTAATGTGAAGTGGATTATTATTCTGAAATTTACCAGATATTATTCCAACATTTTTACTCTTGAATCAAGAGAAATGTGAGATCCGTGCGTTTTCGAAGAACTTCTGAGCTAGTGTAATAAGTCAGAGTGAAACAAATATACTCTTTCCTTCACTGTAACTTATTGCACTAACGTGCACTAGTTCAGAAGTTCTTCCAAAAGGAACAGTTTATGTTATACGAAGCAGAATGCTTTTTCACGCAAGATACGAGAAAAAGTGATAAGTATATCGCTATGCTCTGCGTATCTATGACAAGCTGAAGCCACTCGAGTCGAAATTTATAATGCTATAAATCTCAAAAATTATCTCATTACAATGTTTCGTGTGAACACTGTAAGAATATATTATACAGGATATCTCAGACTCTCTTCCGCGATTTTTGTATAAATGTAGAATGGATTGAGGTGAACATAAAAGTTTTTATAATATTCGCAATAAATCTCGAGATATTAATTGAAGAAGATTGATTAATAATTACACGCGATATGGTGGATGAGCTACAGTGGTGTCGTCTGCCGTTGTATACTTATATATTAGGTCAAATTGAACAAACAAATCCTCTACCATCCTCTACCATTCCGCAAATGACAACATAGATTTTTAGATATTAATTAAAGAAGATTTGTGTATTATCGTGCATAATCATGTAACAATACGTCCCCGCAAAAATTGCGAAGGTTAGTCTGGGACACCTTGTATAAAATAAGTCATAAGGACAACATCAGAGACATTGAAATGACTGCCTGCCGGACGTTTTTCTTGAAGTTAAGCAACAGTCAAGCGTGTCTAGAAGGTAGATAGTGTGATCGGCCGAAATCGAAAGTATTGAAGGACGCAATAAAGTGCGTGACAATAGTTGCTAGTATTTTTTTACCGGACATGCAATTTTTTCACTGGCCTACAAGTTCGATAATGTTTATAGGCTTAATGTATAACTTAAATTAGATTCTAAATTAGATGTAACTTAAATTTAGATTCGCTGTACATACACGAAAAGATTGGTGTCCACGTCAAAATTTCTCTAACTTTACACTTAAGAAACACTTAAGGAACATTTATAAAATACTTATATTTTCTTCTTAGCCTTACATGAATCCTCCTCTTGAGGCCATATATAAGAATAAAATTCACTAAGATTCAGAGAATTCCGCTAAGAATAAAATTATATATTTTTAGGTGAGTGTTGTGCATAAACTTTTGCAAATAATCGCATAGCCGTACGAATAATATGACTTCATGCGTTCGATCATACTTGTCACTTTCCGTTTTTCCTATTTATTCTCCTTTTTAACGATACGTAAACTAACCAAGTCGATTCTATTAAAATCAATTAGCAGTCACAGTGATTGTATTTCCGTTTCTCTTTAGATTGCGATATTCGACGTACTTCGACGTAGATAGCAACTGAGACATTTCCTCGATGTTTTCGAGGAACGAGAAAATTGTTTCATTGAACGAAAAAATTGTTATCACTTCATTATTCAAATCTGAACTGTTTACGTCGTGATTATCATCCACGACAAGACTCCTTAATAAAAAGAAACAAATATACGAGTCATGGTAGGCATTCGTGCTCAACGAACTGTGTTTGACATCTTATTAGAACATGTTATTTTGTACTTTGGACTGTTTATTTTGCACCGCGTTATGAATTATGACTAATATTTAATCTTACTACGTCGTTTGTAAAAAAATGTTTACTACCTCGAAATATGAGTCAGCATTATTTTAGCTCGTAATCTAGCTACTTATCAGTTAATATCGAGCTATCATTGTAGAATGTGTATACTTGACATCGATGTCTACATCATTTGAGCGAGTATTAAATCGACTTCGGGACGATAGTGACAAAGTTCATTGGATAAGGTTGGAAAATGACGTTAAATTTGCAAAACGAGCTCGTTATCGTGAATTACCACGATAAGGTAACAGGAATAGTCAACGATCTTGTAACGCGTGTCACGTTTCAATTGCTGTATTTACTTGCATAATTTCTTTGTAGAATATATCATACGCTATCTCTACATTATACGTAGGCTACATTCAGAAAAACTGCGGTCTTGCAGTTGTGACGAATATTAGATACTAGATACGAGAAAGTTACTATGATGGATGATGAATAAAATTACCAGCAAATACTGCGATATTGCATATGTTTTGTATTTAATCGATATAGATGACAATTTCTGAGCTTCTTTTTGTGAAATTTAGCAAAAAAGTCCTTCTATAACGTCTATTCAAATCAAGGATAGTCTTATAAAGATGACTGTGTTAGACAAAAAAGACAAGGAAAAGTGACGAAATACGAATGAATGCGTAATCTTCATGTCCATTACATTTGCTAATAAATATTATTATATGATATATAAGAACGCTGCCGCTGCTATACATTTTACATATTACATATAATTTTTTAACAGAGAAACAACAATAAATTTTAACTGTGACATTTAAAGTTCCACGTGAATCAGCAAAACATTTTTTGTTTAGTTTACATTACATCTAAATGTAACACTTTGTACTGCCCCGTTTTTGACTTTCAAAACGTGATAAAATAATGGCTGAAAAACAGAAAATAAAAAAAGTTCTATATATTCAAAGATCTCGCACTTAAATCGTATCGATGTGCGAGACTTTTCGCGCACTAATCGTTCGTATCGGACATAAATGAAGATTATAACAGAAAAGAAAATTATTTTTTGCGAACAGATGGACTTTAGATGTATGATGCCTTAGTATTTATTATAGATGCACGACGTTTTATATTGTTTACAAAGCGCATTCTTATTGCTGTGTAACAGTTTTCTCAAGTGCAATTTATTATACTTTCGTGTCATTTCATAAAAATGTTCTTAATAGTATATTACTGGTTAAAGTAAACTAAATTTCAATATCGTTATTAAAATCAGCATAGAGAACTGCATGTTAAGCAATTATTCAACTAATATTATAAATTAATAAACATGAGAACAATAACAATCTTATCGAAGCACAGTACAAAGCGTTTGTTGTCAAACACATAAATTCCATAGAATGAGAGCTGCACGCTCTAATATTTTAGAATGGCAATTATGTCAGGTGTTCTAATAACATGTAAAGAAGAACATATTAGTCTGATTTGAATTTTTCCGTGCAAATTACGTCTTTTACAGCTAATTAGCTATATTAAAAAACTGGTATATGAATGTAATTTTAATTAAGTTTCTCGTTTTAATGTGTCGCATACAACACTAGTGAGATTTACAACCTACTTCAATTTTTATAACTGTTCATTACTGTGTATAGTAATAAAAATAAACAATTTGCAATGCACAGTTACTTCTGATAGTCTATTATTTATTTTTATTCTACAGCTTTATCACACTCATTTGTACATTCGCGCGTACACTAATTACTTATTATTATATTTGCAGGTTTCTCTCGTAATTTATACAATTACTCGTTGATGAATTAGTAGTGCCCAAATATGGCGGTAAATAAGATTCATAGTATGTGGAAACTGGGCAGAGTTATCGCGGATGCTGGGATCAGAGCCCTGAACCCTGCGCTAAGGCGTGCGTCGACCTTAACGCAAAAGAAAATTGTAGAGGGGCCAAATGGCGAGAGAATCATTCAGTCGCCGTATGGTGAAGTACCGTATATTCCCGACATGTTGATCCACGAATATGTTTGGGACAAAAGCGAGAATTATTCTAATAAAATTGCATTGGTAATTTCAATTATCTAATAGATTATTTGCATACTTACGATAAGCAATATATCCATAGAAAGCACCTCCAATCAACCACAAGCGCTTTGTATACAAACGGATAAAGGTTGATTCTCATTATCTATTTGTGGTAGATAAGCGTCCGTTAATTCTTCGCAAATTTTATGTAGCATTCTCACTGTCGAGCAAACAATATTTCACCAGCCAATGTCAACGTCACTTTAGCTTCTTTCAAAATTAAAAAAAAATACATATATTATGCATATTTTGTTGCTTATTACATACGTATCTAAATATAGTCTGCTTAACTTTCGTCAGATATTGGAAGGTGGTTATAAATTATAATATATCATGCGTAACTTGATGACCGAGAAAGTTTTTCGGTATGTGTGACAGTTCATCAACATTCATCAAGACCTTTTTGTAAAAAATAACATTGCGAAACTATTATCATGCATCATCCATATTTACAGCGTCATCCATATTTATAGTGTCTGAGGCAACTTTGTTAGTTTATGTTACGGGTCAGCACTTTCAAAACATCCTTTCTGAGAATGTCCGTTTCTATCTAAAGGCGATTAGACGTGACGGTTGAGGAGGGAGGGGAGGGTATTCTAATATAAAAACACAAAAGAATGCGGTAACGGAGGATTAACGGATTCCTATGTGCCGTAATGTAGGTGGATAGTGAGAATCGATCTTTACAGATTAGTTACGTAAGAAATTCAATTTCATGTAATATTGACAAAATCAAAATTTTTGCACATGAAAACATAAGGTAATTTTATCAATTTGCATATAAAAATATAAGATAATTTTATTAATAATGTTTAATGTCTTTCGTTTGTTTTGTTTTTCTGTTTCAACACTTTTATTTAATATAATGTACAGGCGACTATGAAAAATATTATATAAGAGCGTTATTATAATAATGTTCTTATAATATTCTTATAATATGTTAATATGTTATAATATAAGTTGTGTGTGCGTGCGTGTGTGCACGCGCGCGCGTCTGTGTGTGTATGTAAGAATGTTGCGCGAGTAATTTATATGATAACGATAAATTATCGCTTGTATGATTCAGGAATGCGGCTTGACTGGTAAAAAGTACACCTTCGCGCAAGCCAAAGACGCAACAAATTATATTGCTAAAAGTTTGCACAATATCGGTCTGAAGAAAGGTGACGTGATAGCACTGGTGACACCCAATCTGCCGGACTCAATTTTAAGTTTCCTTGGAATTTTGTCAGGTGGATTCATCTGCACTACTATAAATCCGCAGTATACGCCCGGTAAATTACTTTATAGTATTTTCCATTTCAGACACCTAGAAATATTTTCAATGAAATGTATCTGCGTAAATCATTATCGATAAATATATTCTCAATAAGGTAAACATAGTTGTCAATTAGGTGTATCGTCGCATTGTACGCATAAATAAATAAACATTTCAAACGGACGTTTTCAGACGAAATCTCGAGGCAGTTGCAGAAGTCCAACGTAAAAGCGATTATTACTTCAACTGCGATTGCATCCACGGTGCTTACCGCGGCGAACTCCTGTCTTCCACCTCAAACACCTTTTATTGTGATCAACGATCAAATTAATCCAATGCCGGAGGGTTGTATACCTTTCGATGTTAGTATAAAAAAAATATTTAAAAGTACTAATAAATGATGATATTTAGCCGCTATTAAAGAGGTCGACCAAGTAATGTGTAATCGCTGAAGTTTAATTTGTTCTAAAGAATAAAAAATATATATATACATGTTGTTAACTAATAAGTATCATTAATTAACAATACATATAATATATAAATCTATAGGTAAGATTTTTTTTCAGGATCTCATAACGCGCGGCAAATCATTGTCAAATATAGTTTTGAGCAGGAGCTTAATAAACGATGTCGCGGTTTTGCCATTTTCAAGCGGCACGACTGGATTACCAAAGGGTGTTATGTTAACACATAGAAATTTGGTGTCTAACATGGAAATGGGCGAGAGCTCTTTAGACGATAGCATATTCTACCCCACTACAGGTACTTCGATACCACTTAATAAGTCATTAACGCTCACTTTAATTTCCAATTGCGCTCATTACACTGTTATCAACTAATGATGATACGGCGCGCTTATTTGTTTTATTTACTTTATTTTTCTTCTTCTGATTTATCTTTTGTAGATACATTTCAAGAAGTGTTACCTGCAGTACTACCGTTTTTTCATATCTACGGATTAAATGGTGTGGTATTGCCGCGTCTCGCTAAAGGCGCTAAAATAATTACCATTCCAAAATTTTTACCGGAGTTATATTTAAAAGTATTGGAGAAAAGCAAGGTGAATAAATTTGTCATGCAAGTAATTTGAATTTTTAAATTTGTCGAGAAGTTGTCAAAGAGAGCACAATGCATTCAGAATATCAAGGTGTTCGCCGTATCTCGGGATGTATTAATATAAAATAAGAGAGAAAATAATTTTTATTTCTGTCTTTGACAAAAATCATAATTTCTGAAAATCTACATACATTTCAGGGGACTTAAGGCTCCTGGTTCCTCACTGTGGAATTCTTTATTGATGATGTCAGAAGTGAGGATATAAATATATATATAAAATTCCTGCAAAGTACATATAAATAAAAAGATATATCCAAAAAATGACACAATCGATTAAGCACGCCGTTTCAAATATTCTGAACACTTTCCTTTCGCTGTAACACTCAATAAATAATCGCAAGATTAACCGTAATATGTAAACTTTCTTTTTAATATACTTTTTAATATAATTACTCGAAAATCGCTATATCTTTTGAATAACTAATGAGATTGTCATCAAATTTCGCAGAAACATTACTCTTGAGATAAAATTTTTTTCTTACAAATTTCAAAGTCATCAAGGTCATTTCGTTTTTTGCTGATTTCGAGGCTATGACGAACTTCCAAAATCATTTGAAGGTTATGCTAAAAAATTTTTAATTTTTAAGTTTTTAAAAATTTTTAAAAGGTGCACCTAATCGATTGCAAGTATCATAAAGATATATATCTTTTTATCTCAACGTACTGTGCAGGAATTTTAGGCGCGAATTTCTTCGTTTCTCTGACGTTATCAACAAAGATGGCCGCAGGCAGGAGGAATCAGGAGCCTTAATATGTAAAATTTCCAACACGTTGGGTCTATTTTTTCAGGCGACTCTGTTATTCTGCGTGCCACCAATAGTACTGTTCTTAACGGCTTCTCCCCACGTGCAGAAACATCATTTGGAGCATATTCATTGCCTTGTCAGCGGCGCCGCGCCGCTCGGCCAGTCGGACGTCGAAAGATTCTACGAGAAGTTTAAGTTCAATATCGACAACTTAAAATTTCATCAAGGTGAATGATCACGAAATCGCGCCGACGAGAAATTCACAGGACGAGCTAGCGAGACGTTTATCGAGTTTTGCGGATCGAGTTTCGGGATTGCGTTTCGGCGCACGCAAGCTTTGAAGGACTGGACACATATTTTTTTTATCCGGCGGGTTGATACGTCGGAGCGGGAACAGAACAGTGGAGTGGGGAGAGGGAAGGTGGGAGTGAGTTTTGCATTTGTGGGCTTCGCGAGCGAGTAGTGTGTACGTTCAATTTTTAACGAGATCCCACGAGTCGGTCGCGCCTCTGGAATAAAGCCCGGCGTGTATCGAGAACGGTGTTATATTAAATTTTACTCCTATTTCAATTGATATTGCATCCTGATGCGCTCTCGAATTCGCAAAATTCGGCGAATTCGCAGTGTTGGTGCGGAAAAATGTCGGTATTAACCTCTAGGATCCATTTATTTGTTTTCTATCCAAATGGCTGTCGTGCAGGCACAAACTTTTATTCGACGAAATTGTTTTCGCAATCAAAGATGACTCGTTATGAATTTTGATATTTTCGCCATACGTGTAAAATGTGAAATCATATATTTTTCTTATCCCGTCGTTGAACTCTACGATCAAACTCAGTTTGGCAATTATTGACTACTTTGATTCTATCAAAAACTCGCACGTACTAAATAATAATACTAATAAAAACCTCGCTATAATTTTTCAAGGCTATGGATTAACAGAATCTTCGCCAGTGGCCTTCCTTGAAGCTACATCAAAGAAATTTTCCAGTATTGGGAAAAATATTGCGAGTTGCGAAGCACGTTTGGTAGACATAACTACTAAACAGGATGTCAGCAGTCCCGGTCAAACCGGCGAATTATGGATCCGAGGACCTCACATTATGAAAGGATATTTGAATGACGAAACTGCCACGAAGGAAACCATAACTGAAGATAAATGGCTGAAGACCGGTGACATTGCTTACTACGACGAAGATTTCGACTTTTACATTACGGACAGGTTGAAGGAGCTTATTAAAGTTAAGGGATTCCAGGTAAGAATTTGTTAAAAAAGAAAAAGTTATTGTGGTGCTCAGTAATTGTTCTCAAACATGAACAATCTTTAAAACATTCTTATACACGGGAAAAAGATGATATGCATATAATCAGAAATATTTAGCTGTGAGTAGCATCACTCTTGTTATATCTGTATGATAGTAATGCGTATAGCTGATATGACTCGGTTACTTCAGCTACATTAATGTAGCTGCGCGTGATCTCGTTATGGCGACTAGAAATCGATTGGATTGACATTTACTATGGATATATTCTGGTTAAAGCAGCCGCATATCGTCACTGTAACTCAGTAATTGCTCTGTGGTCGCAGCAACCACATAATTAGTTGTTCAGTACTTTACTATTAATCTGGATTGGCACAATCACACTGTGTGGACCAACCATACTGTTTCTTCCGTGTACATGGACTACAATTAACTGTCAATTTATAGTGATAATTATTCCATGTCCTGGACGTAGAATGAAATCATCTTATATTTTTGCAATTAAGAAAATTAGTAAAAAAAATTTTAATAAAGACATTTTAACAATGATTCGGCGCCCAACTTGTTCTTCTTATAATTAATTCGTACAAGTTCAATATCAAAGAAAATTCTTCTTTTTTCGGTGTTTATTATGTTGTTAAACGTGGACATTTTGGAATGTCATTATATATTTTTTCATAGTCTATATATAACGGCCCAAACCACCGAAACGAGTTCAAAGTTTTAATGGCAGCTTATTTCTCTCGTTGGTGTTTAAGAGCGTTCATTGTCTTTGTCTTTTCTAAAAATATTATTTCTACCTGGTTGAAGGTACCACCGGCGGAACTGGAAGCGTTGCTGCGGTCGCATCCAGACGTGCAGGAGGCGGCAGTGATTGGTATTCCGCACGAGAGATACGGCGAGGTACCGAAAGCGTTCATAGTGGCGAACAAGAATAAGAAACCCACCGAAGACGAGATTAAGAACTTCATAAAAGGAAAGGTCTCCGAATATAAGGAGCTCGAAGGTATAACTCGATTCTGATAACTGCTACAGTGACGTGGAATCTCTAATTGTCTGGCGACGTTTAATTATCAAATTGTTAAGATTTTTTGCGGTTTTAGAGCTATTATTATTCGAATATCCAAGTAAGCGGGTAAATATCACTTGGGAAAGCATTTATTGCTATGTCAATCGAGCTAGTTCTCTAAGGATTCAGGGGCCCAAAATACCAGACAATTAGAAAGCCAATTCCAAGCAAGGGACTAGTGGATTGTACGCATGTCTTTTCTTCTTTTAGGCGGAGTCACGTTCGTTACGGATATCCCGAAGAACGCAAGTGGCAAGATTTTACGATCGCACTTGAAGAAGGAATATACGTAGTCTTAACGTTATCGGGATGACACTTGACAAAATTTAATGTGTAATAGACAACAAACACGCGCAAAAATAGGATTGTTATTTTATATATCTTATATACATATATATTTTATACATACTTTATATATATATATATATATATATATATATATATTACAATATATACGTATATCTAATATATATATAAAATATGTATATCTTACATATGTTTTGCTCAACAATATTGTAAATAACAGCGTGTATATAGAAATAAGGTATAAAATTTAGAAGTCATAAGCTGTGTCTTTCAAAAACCACAACAGAGGCAACGACAAATTTAATTTGTAACATTTTGAAAAGTTTAACTACTAACCGTTGAAAAGTTTACTTCATCGTTTTCTGATGTCTTCACATAATTAAGAAAATGTGATAAAAAGTATATATTTTAATACTTTTATACGTGTAGGATAATTAGAAGAAGTAATTTGTGTTAGAGAAACCATATAGTAAATTGATTTAGAAATTTTAGAGGAGACTTTATTTAAAATGGACTTGTACGAGTTAGAGGATGTTCTCTTCAGAACAAAATAATTTTTATTTTCTTTGTATCTTCAAAAAATAATTATTAGTTCCAAAAGTGTTGATGTTTCAAGGTGCAGCTTATATACCTTATGTACTTCAAGAAACATATTATATTTCGGTGAAACTATTGTACCTTTCCTTTACAATTTTAATGTTTACGATTTTTGCGGTACAACTTATTAATATTTGATATTATTGTTATTATTATTACATTTTAATATTTACTACTATTGTTGTTATTGCATTTACTGCGCATTGCGCAGTTGATTCGATCTTTTTGAAATTGTTGTATCTTAATTTTATATTTGACATGCTAACAGTCTTTTAAATAAAATTCTGTTTTATATATCTATGCAGCAATTGACATCGATGTTTTTATATATTATCGGAAACAACTAAACATGTCACATGCGACAGTAAATATATTATTCGCAACAGCCAAGCAAATACGACGGAATAATATTATTTATGTTTGGTATATATGTATTTCGTTATTAATTCTATAGTTATTAATATGAATATTAATTTCCAGAGTAAATTATGAAAAAATTGATAAAGGAAATTTTGAGAAAATTCTAATTCAGAAGAAAGTTATAATAGTGAGTGAACTCAGTGAAAAAAGGAAGATCAACAGGAAGTATTGCAAACACTTTAGATAGTTCGCATTTCAAGTATTTGGCAAAAATATAATTTATGTTATGAATGTTAATGTAATACATCTATATATGCATATATATAAGGTTATCTCTTTATTTGGAGAGAATACGGTTAACATAAGAGAGATATAAATTAATAATTAATTTTTCCTTACAATATTAAATATTTATCGAAATTGGTGATTTACAATCACACGCGACACTGTCTTTTGCACACAACGCAAATTTTACTTGATTAAAATCGTGTTTAACGCGAAGTAACGCAAAAACAACGCAGCAGGAAAGCACATCCGGAACAAATTCTTTGTTTATTCCGCATTATTTATTATTCTTCTTCTCTCGAGGCACCTGAGGTACGTGTGATAAACACAAATTCGGAGTACATCAAACACGTCATAATATAAGAAAATAATAATATAGAGAAACACGTGCGCGTAATATAGATCATAAGAAATACGAAATCACAGAATATATTCTGTCTCCCCGCCCTTTCCACTAGGACCATACGAATCCAAATATTTTACGAGTGAAAGAGCTTCAGAATAAATATTTCAGACAGAAAAAAGTTGTAAACATAGAATGCAAATATAACCAAGAAAATGATTTTTGCAAATAATGAAAGTGTACATTTACTGTGAATAAAACTCACAAAAATTCATAAAGTTTTTCTTATGTGCTAATTAAACAACTGAAATATGATTGTTTGCGCTTACTGAACCAATAACTAGGCTTCCACTGTAGCCCAACGAGAGTTAATATGTATAATCATTTGTATACGCTAAGATTCTAGGGTGCCATACGGACCCAGTGGAATTTTAGCATGAAGTATAAAAGAGCATTAATTTCCGTCGAGTCCATGTGGACTTTCTCTTTGAACTGGAAAGGGTTAATAATATATGATTATTAATATGCAGAGCTAGCAATTCTAGGGTTGTATCCATTACTTTTAAGAATCCCAATGATAGATGAAAGTATAAGAATTGGAAAACGCCGCTCTCTTGACTCTCACCACCGTGATCATTCTGAGATTAAAAGTTGCGAGTGTAAAAGTTTTGCCGTTGACGCGCGAAGGGAGAGGGAAGGGGAGCAGCAGAGGAAGGGCGCGAAGAAACTGCATTTTCCTTTCGGGATAAATGGAGGCGAGTAAGGTGCTCTTCCGCGATTTGGATGGCTGGACCGGAAAAAATAGGACGCGAGGGAAACGCTTTTGTCTCGCGGCGAAGCGCAGCTTCCGCGGTTGAACCGGATGCTCGCGCTTTCGGGATTTATGCACGGCGGTTGGTCGGGAGAGTGTACGTCTCTGACGATGAAGCTCGCAGACGGAGGAGTGCGGCGAGACTTTTGCATTGTTTCGTTCGCGCGGAGATGGATTTACCGGGCGTGGGATTCTCTGCTCCATCTTGTAGAAGCGAGCCGAGCTCAGAAATGAGAAACAAGAGCCGATACGTGTCTGCCGATTTACGCTTTCGAGTCAGTTTAGGATTCAGCGTGCGGGACAAACTCAGAGTCGACAATTAATATTCGGGAATTCAGAACGAGAACTGACTCAGTTCAGAACCCGCGAGGTTCATTGAAATTTAAGGCTGCATCTAGAGTAATCTTCATAAATTATGGACTTCAGATCGTTCTTATTCAAAATCCTTAATTAACATAGCTTTCTTTTTATATTCAATTATATTCACTATCTGCTTCACATTCTGAATCGATCACACAATTCGTCTTCCTTCACAATTCCATTTGCAATTTCTCCTCCAGATTAATTAAAATCAGTTCTAACGGCATCTCAGTTGCATTCGTCATTGTACCGTTACGGAATGCGGGACGAATAAGCTCGGGACTGGACGGGGAGAGAGCGCGAAAGAAATTCACCGCTGATACTGGCAAGTTGTGAAGTGTGTCTCGCGCGCGCTGTATCATTATGACAGGAATAATGCGCCGGGCTAAAAAGGTGCGAATGCAGTTGCCTCCGCCGTTATAAAAGGCGAACCAACTTTTATCTCTTCCAAGTCGTTGCTCCGACAGCGAGGCACCTCGAAGAAGAAGCCGAGAAAAAAAGGGACGCGTCCTTGCCTTTTATTTCAACCGCTTTGTCTCATGGCGGAGAGCTTTTCGTAAATTAGCTCTTACAGACGACCTGATTCCTAGAATCGCGTATTATGCCTCAATCATACAAGGACTTCTCTGACACAGTTTCGCTCGTGTTTTCGCTATTATGTCGCTTTTTGCGAAATGTTTAGCGCTATTGGATAGTTTCAATGAACTCAAAATTATTCTTCCTCTCTTGTAACGGGTCGTCGCGCGTTTGACGTAATCCTTCGACTATTCGAAATTGCCCGCCTTACATTCTCAGACTCGAATAAAAATTCCGTTAAAGTAAACTTCACGGGAAGAACTTTTTTTTACTGGTTACTTCCTGCAACCGCGTGGTTTTATTGGGCTGTTACGTGGGGCTGGATCGCTTCTTCAACGATCCAAGCTCGAATATGGTAAAAGTACCATAAACGCGGGGGATATTTAGTTTCTACAAACGGCCTTTGATGCGAAATCGATACTTCTGTTCCTTGTATTGTCTACGTTTCACGACTTTACTCCTTCCTTTTTTTTTTTCTTATTCATTCCTGTGTTATCTCGTCGTGAGATATTCCACCGGCGCGCTTATCGATTATGGTCTAGCTACCAACGAGGTATTATTAAAGACCGACGATATTGCGGAAGTTCGCATAGCTGCCAATATTTGGAGGGTCCGGCGCATATAATAGTGTGTATTAATTTTACGATTTATTATTATCCAGTCACGTTCCGTAAGCATGTGTGCATATCTGTGGCGCAGTGATATTATATACCTCGGTGAGACTGCATTGCTCCACATTGTCATCTTCCGCGTGGACAAACGTCCGGATATTTATATCGGACGGTCCAAACAGTCGATAATGTCGATGCTCTCCAATTATTCCTGGACTCGCCTTGGTAGTCACGTAACTTTATCACGAGTTCTTTTTAGAGATGTGCAAACTATTCGCATTCGAATCAAATCGAATCGAATCAAGTGAAATTCGATTCGATTTAAAATCGAATCCCTATGATTCGAATCCAAATAATTCGAAAATTTCGAATCGAAAAGATTCGAATACGGATCCGCCACATTAGCATTAACGAAGAATTAAAGACATTCAGCCTTACGGGAATTAGTATGACTTGAAAAGTTTGCTATACATTGAGATTTTCTCCAAAAATATTAAAAGAACTGTCGAATCGACATGTGTCGTTGCGCAGCTTTCAAGGCTGGAACTGTATTCCATACACCGACTATATATTATATATCTCTTACCTTAAAAATAAATTGATTTTATATGATCAATGTTATACTGAAATCACTATTATACTTTCATACTGAGATCACTATGTTAAATTTAATGATTATATTAATTAAAAATTCTTTCAACGATTTGATTCAATTCGATTCGACATTAAAAATCTTTGATTTGCACATCTCTAATTCCTTTAATGATACACGGAGAAAAAACTAAGTCCAGTAAACAATAAACATTAGATCAACATCTTGAAATATTTATTTTACGCGTATCTCTTTAATATTTTCCTGCAATATTTTAAAAACATTTCAAAGACATTATCGTTTAATACGATCCCTTTGAATATTACAAAAATGTCTTAGAAATATTAAAGTATTAAAGTTATTCGTAATAATGTTGATACAACTATAAAGACTACAAAACGTCACATGTTATTAAATATTATTGCAATAACGTTCTATTAATAATGTTTTGTTTACTACGAAGTATCATCTAACTAAATATGAGATTGCCCTACCAAAATATTAACGATATCTTTCACTCATATATAGTAAAGGGTTAATGGAAACTGTAGTACTCTAGAAATGGTACACAGGTCTTCTTTGCTATCCGTTCATGCTATCTGAACAGAATTCTCTCAGTGCTGTCTCGCGCAACCAAACCCCACAGAAAAATATCATTCTACTGCTAAGAATAGCGGTTATTCAGTTTACTTTCCTTCTTTCAAGTAATGGTTATCTTCATCAAAGAATATTTTCTTGATGATAGTCTTAAAATGTACTTATCAGAAATTTGTGGAAAGCTCATTATCATGCACTTAAGAGAAGAACTTATTCTCTTTACAAAGATACTACAAAATTTTATTGAAAAAAAGATTGTGGCTCGACTCTAATGTAATAAGCAAACTAAATTTTTGTTTTAATTTTTTTATTAAAATGTTAAATTTGCATAGCGATTCGGAATGCATTTTGAATTTGAAATCACGTTTAATAAACTTGGAATAGATTTGAGATAGTTTTTGAATACATTTAATGAACTTGGGGTAAATTTGAAGATATATAAACTCATGAAATACTTGAAACAAGTAATATTTACTTAAATGTAGTGTATATTTTTCTGTGCGTACATATCTCTCAACCATAATATTCGTTCTGCAATATTCTTCCGGTTGAGGTAACTATACATATACGTGAGGATATACTAATTGAACATAATGTGTGTATCATAAGAACATGATTATGAGGACCGTGTAGATGTAGATGTATAAGAACGGTAATTTTTAATGCAATATCTCTATATAACTCGAATTCATATAAATTTCTTTTTCTAAACATAGAGAATGTGCTTATAGGAACCATAATAGTTTTCTCCGTGTACCTTCGGCGGTGAGACGGTCG